TGACACGTGGTCCGCAGCCATTTTCCGCCCCTGACACGTGGTCCGCGGCCATTTTCCGCCCCTGACACGTGGTCCGCGGTCATTTTCCGCCCCTGACACGTGGTCCACGGCCATTTTCCGCCCCTGACACGTGGTCATAGGGAGGGGGACTCTCCCTCCAAGCAATAGCCACCTCCCTCTCCTCCATGCCAGAACGGATTACGGTAATTACACTGAACCTTATGGGGAAATTTCATTCGGGTTGCGACCAATTCGGGTTGCAACCAGAGTCACGGAATGAATTAAGTTCGTAAACCGAGGTACCACTATAGTATTAAAAGTCTTGGTACTAAATGAATGAAGTCATAAATGGGCATCCTTTTATTAGAGGCTAGAGATATATTGTAATTTTTTTTGTTGTTTAAGGTCCGCCCTTTATATTTAATACAATTCTGTATTTAGAGCCAGCAGATCAAACTGCATTTTTCTAACTATAATCTAATAGTCAAGAGTAACAAAACACTTTCTAGGATACACCTATATTAGTACTAATTGGGATACGTCAAGAAGTCAGTGCAAAACTATTGGATAGGATTTCTGTATTACATCCAGCTTATGCTTACCTGCCAAACAAGCCACCGGAGCTTAGAGTAGACTTTCTGCATATACAGAAAGCAGAAGCAGTAACAAGGTCCCTGTTCCTTGCAACCCTCTGTACCATATCAAAGTTACTGGCGATAAATGGTGACAAGCAATTCTGAAATATTAGCACTTTGCAGCCATTTTAGGTTATAGCACAAAGACCAAGAAGCTAAAGAGTACTCACATTGCAACACAAAATTGAGTCTAGACTACATCACATGTGTGTACTAATATTATTTGCAAATCAATTTGAGCTCATGAGAAAAGTGAAGTAGCATTTAAAAAAACAAACAATAGCTAAATCTGATAGATAGATAGATAGATAGATAGATAGATAGATAGATAGATAGATAGATAGATAGATAGATAGATGATATAGATATATAGATTAGATATATAGATAGATTTGGCATTATTTTCCAAAAATGTATTATGGTTATTAGTTAATAAGCAAGCTGTATACTCACAACTACATCCATTTTTTCATAAGCCTTCCAAGCAGTTATTCTCACATTGTCTGTTATGTGTAAAGTATCACATAAGGAAACAAAATCTGTTTCAGCAAACAGAAGCCTAATAAAAAGAAATATGTTACTTACAAAACTGAAATTATTTTAGGTACTTGACAGATTATATCATTTTGTGGAATATGTACTATACCATCTACTTTAGCAAACAATGCACAGACTTTTCACTTCCAATACTTTCCTTACACATCAATAAGCACAAGCAATGCAAATTGTATATTAAAAAATGCGATGCAGACGCTATTACAAACATGTACCATGGTAGTTTCCTGACCTAATTCTGTGAACTCAAGACACACACTCATAAACATATCAATGCAAATCAACGCATGTAGTTATTTTCTCTAGGTGGAATAAAACATATTTAATATAACTAATAAGAATATCTGATGAAAAGCATCACATGAAAACCATGACACTTTAACTGCTTTAACACCAACTACACAGTGGTGCAATCATAGGTCATTAAATTTACCAGTTGTCTTTTCAGCACGCTAAATATATATATATATATATATTTTCTTTTGTTTCTTTTATCTTTAACCCTTGTTGCAAACTCAGTAACTCACACCCTCTACTCCAGGTATCATGTTTTTTTTCTAATATTCTATACCATTGTCTATATGATTCCTACTCTGAGATAGTAAAATGTTAAGAGGATGAATGACAATAAGAAGAAAGAAGAGTAAAGAAATCAAAGAGGAAAAGAGAACAGTATTTATTATTATTAAACTTCAGAGTAATTGCTATCTTTTTTTACCACTGTAAAATTGATGGCTTGGTTAAGAAATACTGTTTTGGCAAAGTAAGTCATCAGGCTCAGTTTCAGATACATGAAAGAAGAGAAGCTATATCATCACGTTGTGAAACTAAATTAAGCCAAATGAAAGTATTTTATACATACAGACATATATACATATCTTATTTAAACAAGCCCTTAAATCCTGGCTCTTCCCCCAGGCCTTGGGTTAGACTGGGTAAAGGACCTCTTTTAGGATGTTTGGTCTATTAGACTGTGTCATTTTTTCCCCCAGACATTTTCCTTTTCAGGCTACATATATCCGTGTCAGTCATGATAGAGTTGGACAGTCTATAAATGTTACAATATATACATACCTACCTGGAAAAGGCCATAGGTTTATAAGAGAAATTAAGAAACAAAATGAGATTGAGAACCACCTATGAACTTCCAAGACTTATGTTAACAGTTGATTAGGGGGGAGGGAAAAGAGAAAGAAGTCAGCCTTTTCAAGACTACTTATTCCTATAAATCAGCATTTGGGCTGGAAAAATGTGTACTAGAAAAAAGATCAATTTTGATTTGATCTTTTTTCTAGTACACATGAAAAGGCTGACTTCTTTCTCTTTCTACAAACTGAAAAATGCCACCCATATATTTGGACAGCTGCTGAATAAAAAAGGGGGAAATATAAAAGACATAATAGAGCAGGCAAAAACTACCTGTGCTCTATTTTTCTAACTTAGCTGCATAACATACGTTCACAGAAAGGCAACTTTTTGACACATGGTAACACAAAGGTGGGCCACAAGTAATGATCATGTAAGTGATATAATTAAGATATCTCAGGCAAAATGAAGCACAACTACACTTTAGCTTCTATGATCAGCATGTGCTACTGAAGTTAACTGGTATGTTGCATCAGAAACAATCTTGTTGGCTAGTAGCAATCAAAACAGAGACACCTGCACACAGTGCATAAGTTCTTCATATTTAGCAGTTTCTTCATGTATTACTCCAGGAAGTGGAGTTTTCCAAACACTTCCAAGGCTTTTCAGAGGAGAACATTTTGATGTGGCAGACAGTTGTTGCAAGGTCAGAAGAAAACAGGCTGAAACCATACTAGTTCATTAACAAAGAACAGGTGGAAAATATTCCTCCCACCCAGACCTTTAAGTCTGTTACATTATGCAGGGTGGGAGAAAAAGGCACAAAAAATTTAAAACTTGATTTCACTATAAATGGGACTTGCATTTGATACATAGCAGTCACTGAAATCCTTTCATAAATGTTTCTTTAGCATTTCTACAACAAACCTCTCTTCTGTTAAGAAGAGTTGTATGTCCTCCCCGTTGTGCCTGCTCCCAGTATAGTCTAATATTGTTGAGCAAAACCTGACATTAGGTGAAAGTCATGACAAGTTAGGAGCAAATACTCAGATTTAGGTTCAAGCCTCCACAATAGCTGATACTATTCTAAAAAATGTAGCCACTATGTCTCATTTGAATTTTCCTAACCCAACACCAAATACTATCTCCTGGAAAGAGAAGGCACAAGCCTTGGCACAGTCTCAGTTTTCTTTTAATATGCCTATTATGTTTTCCTGAAAAAAGAGCCCCCCCCCCAATTAACTGCTAAGGAGGAGGTCATATGACTGTAAACACTACTGCTGCAAAGCTGGATAGCTTTTTTTTTTAATTAAAACTTTTATTAAGATATATAACAAGTACAGTTAAAATACAAATCAGAAAGTATAGAAAGGAAAGAAGATAGAAAAGAAAAAAACAAACTAAAATAGTGAGATTAAGTAGAAAGATGAAACAGAAAGTGACTTCCGACTATCTCCAATACAGATATGAGTACAAATTTTAAAAATCATATCATATCTCTTACTGCTAATTAATCCAGATTCACATTATTTCTTTCAACACAAACCATCATTTAATCATTAAATCCCACAATCAAAGCTTCATTTTTTCCCAACCCGTAATCTAGGAAGGTTTGCCATGAGGAGACAAATTTTGAAATGGTATTGTCTCTTACTAAAGCTGTTAACTTTGCCATTTGAGCCACGTCCATTAGTTTGATAATCCATTCTTCCACTGTAGGTATTTGTGAATCCTTCCATCTCTGCACATCAAAGCTGGATAGCTTTGAAGATCATCTAATACATGTTCCTTGCTTTGCTGCTCTTTTAATATTTTCCATAATACCTAAACAAGTATTCTCTTTTTTTTCTTTTCTATTGTTACTTCTACCTCAATCTCCACCAAATTTTCTATCCCTCCTTCCCTTTAACACCCTTCCAAGAGCATCTCCATCTTGGTTTCTTTTTCTTCTGGTATATCTGCTTTAGGGAAGGAGTGTTCACATATGTGTGAGGAATGTGTGTTTTTTATAGGTAGACAGAGAAAAGGATTCCTTATTTTACAGGAAACTAATTCTAATCAGTAATTATTACTTCACTGAATTTGTTATAGCACTACCCTTCCTTTCCAGTGTAGCTTCTTGCACACACACACATATATATATATACACATGTCATTCACACATATTTATTGTGGAGAGGGAAATCTCCAGAACTGGTTTCAACTGCAGTTGGCAATGCCAGTTTGACACAGTGGGGAAAGTAGGCATTACACAGGAGCTTTGTCTGTGTTCATAATTTTTTCTATTTCTTTTGCAGGGTCATGTATCTCCCAGGTAAAGTTGCCATTATGATAAGCATAACAGCCGCAAAGGAAAGCTGCACTGGCAGCGAGAAATGAAAATAAGAGAGAGAAAACCATGATCCTTTCAACTCTAAGCAGAGCATTCGTTCCTCACAGCTGATTCAATAAGGCAACATCTGAGAGTGAAGCTTGTATTCTTCTAATGTTCTGTTAAATGTCACTGATCTGAAAACTCGGTGCTATCAGGACTGGCGTTTATCTCTACATGTTTGTTTGCTGTCCTTAGCATCACTCCTCTTGGGACCTCGCTTGGCAGGCACCCGATCCCCAAGTTAAGTGGAAATACGGGCGGCAGCTTTTAAAGGGGCACATGGCTCTGTTGGTGGTTTCAATGTAACATACAAGCTCCAGGAGAAAAAAGAAATCCAGCCTCGAGCCCCAGACACAGAATTCCCTTAACCCAACGAGCAATCGAGAGGTGGAGACTGCGAGTTTCCTCTCTTGCACGGAAAAGAAGATGGCAACCTACGGGCCACTCCGATGGGGGGACGGCGACCAGCTCATCTCCTCGCTTTCTGCCCCACGCCTGCCCCACGCCCCCAGGCGAGAGCAACCACCGCGGGGAGAACTGACCTGTCAGGAGCCGGGGGCGTCGCGGCGGGCGCTGCAGAGTCCCCCGGGGGCGCGGGGCTGTCCTCCCTCTGGCTCGGGAGCCCAGTGCCCGCTGGCCGGGGCGGGGGGGTCGGCGCCATGATCGACGCCTCCAGCCACATAGAGGCTCCCC